GTTCATACAGATTGGATCTTGGGGACAGCATCATGGTTCTCAAGGAAGTGTTTTATGCATCTGGCATAAGACGTAATCTGATCTCCATCCCAGCCCTCCTGAAGAAAGGCCTTGAAGTTAGGTTTTACAATAATAGGGTCTCTATTGGGAAAGACAAGAAAGTGTTTGCTATGGGCAAGTTTGTACCCGAACATGATTTGTTCTGTCTTTCTGTTGTAAAACCTAAATTTTGCAATAAGAATTCTGATTTGCTTTATTCCTCGTGTTTTTTATCTGATTTTGATCTATGGCATATGAGACTAGTATACTTTTGTGTATCTTTTAAACAAAAAATCAGAAGCATTTGAATATTTTAAAAGATACAAGACAGAAGTAGAAAGAAAACTTGGAAGATATATTAAGGTGTTAAGAACTGATAGAGGTGGAGAATTCAATTCAAAGGAATTTGAAAACTATTGCATTCATTATGGCATTAAGAGACATACCACTATGCCTTACACGCCACAACAGAATGGTGTGGCTGAAAGGAAAAATAGAACATTGATGAATGCAGTGAGATGTATGTTGTCACATTCTGGTCTCTCTAAGGATTTTTGGGGAGAAGCAGTATTGACTGCGAATTATATTTTGAATAGGATTCCCACAAAATCAGTCGAGTCAACACCGTATGAGATTTGGAATTGACACAAACCTGAATTAAGTCACTTAAGAAAATGGGGTTGTGTTGCACATGTTCTCATTCCATATCAAGTTAGAGATAAGCTGGATCTCAAAACCTTAAAATGTAGATTTATAGGCTATTCTGAAAAGTCTAAAGGATATAGGTTCTTCCATGAAGAGAAAGGGGTTATTGAAAGTAGAGATGCTACTTTTCTAGAAAATCTAGAGGAAAGGGAACAAGTTCAAGAGGCAGTACCACCTCTGCTAGACTTAGATGATGTTCCTAACGATGACCTGGACATAGTGGATGAAGTAAATCATCCAATAATGGAAGATGAGCCCTTAAATGAGAATATGCCTATGGAAAATCAACCAGCTGAACCTGTCCAACCTGTTAGCCTTAGTGGTAATAAAAGACCCAGAACAACACCTGCATGGATGGATGATTATTATCTGTATTCATGTGAACCATCATGTTTCTCGATAGATATTGACATAGATGAACAAGTTGATCCCTTGAATTATGTGGATGCTATGAACACACATGAATCGGAACAATGGCTGGAAGCCATGAAAAGGGAGCTTGACTCAATAGAGAGAAACAATGTATGGGAGCTATGTGACTTACCAGAAGATAGGAAGTCCATAGGATGTAAATGGGTGTTAAAGAAGAAATATCGGGTTGATGGGTCTATTGATACATTTAAAGCCCGATTAGTAGCTAAAGGCTTTACTCAGAAGGCAGGTATAGATTATCAGGAGACTTATTCTCCGGTGGCTAAGTTTGCTTCTATCAGAATTATCTTAGCAATTGTTGCACATCTTGACTTGGAACTTTTCCAAATGGATGTCAAGACTGCATTCCTCAACAGAGAATTGAAGGAAGTAATATATATGAATCAACCTGAGGGATTTCAGGTTGAAGGACAGGAAAATAAAGTATATAAATTAAAGAAATCTTTATATGGTTTAAAACAATCAGCTAGACAGTGGTATCTCAAATTTCACAATACTGTTATCCAACTTGGTTTTGTTGCAAATAAATTGGATAACTGTGTATATGTCATGAAGAGTGACAGTAGTTTTACAATATTTTCCTTGTATGTGGATGATATTCTACTTGCTGGAAATGACATAGAAGTGCTGAACAGAACCAAGTCAGCACTTAGTAGTGAATTTGAGATGAAGGACATGGGAGATGCATCCTATGTTCTTGGTATACAGATCCTTAGGGATAGAAAGTCTAGAATGTTAAGTTTAAACCAAGAAAGGTATTTACATACAATACTTAGAAGGTTTGGGATGCAGAATTGTAACCCTGCGCCAACACCTTTGGTTATGGGAAAGCGGTTGTGTAAAGAACAATGTCCTGGAGAGGGGCAGAAACCGCTTAGTGTCCCGTATGCACAAGCTGTTGGAAGCTTGATGTATGCAATGTTGTGTACTAGACCAGACCTGGCATATCCGGTGAGTTTGGTTAGTAGATATCAAAGTAATCCTGGTCCAGCACATTGGGAGGCTGTTAAGAGGATTTTGAAGTACCTGAAAGGTACTGTGCACCATAAGTTAGTTTATCAAGCAGATTCGCTTGAGGTTCTTGGTTACTCTGATGCTGATTTCGGAGGAGACAAAGATGACGGGAAGTCCACTTCTGGACATTTGTTCATTTTTGGTGGTGCAGCTGTTTCTTGGGGTAGTAAGAAACAGGGATGTGTGGCAAGATACACACAAGAAGCTGAGTACATAGCATGTAGTATGGCCACTACTCATGCAGTCTGGATACGACGGTTCCTAAAGGACTTGGATCTCAATTTGGTGGATGGACCAATTGAGATATACTGTGATAATCAAGCAGCCATCAGCTTGATCAAAAGTGGTGCAAATAGTTCTAAAGAAAAACATATTGAGATACAATATCATTTGGAAAAGGAAGAAGTCTGTGTGACTTATATTCCTACTAGTGATATGATTGCTGATCCCTTGACGAAGGGTATCCCAGCAGGTACATTCATCAAACATGTTAGTTTGATGGGACTTAGAAATGTCTAAGTCAAGGAAACTTTCATGAAAAATGAAAGGAGACGATCATGGATAATGGTTGTACTCGGTTTATTCACGTAGAGTGAAAAATGTATATATATCTCATGGATAGTGGGAATATGAAATTACATCTTGAGTCACATCTCACGGATAGTGGGAGTGTATGCTCAGAAAGTATTTGGCCATTTCGGCCAAGTGGGAGATGTAAGTGGGTTTTGGCCTCATGGGCCAAATTGTTACCCGACCGTTAAAATGTGATCTGGTTGTTAGGGAATATCTCATATTCTGTGGGATATTCTCTAATCAAGATCTAGCGTTACGGAGAACGGGGGATAGCGGAGGAAAATGAGGCGGTAATTTGGGGACGGAGGGGGGATGGAACGCCTATAAATAGAGGGGGGATAGCGGAGGAAAATGAGGCGGTAATTTGGGGACGGAGGGGGGATGGAACGCCTATAAATAGAGTGGAGTTCCTCTCCTCTGATCATCAACAAATCTCCATTCCGAAGTCCCCAAAACAATCTCAGCGATCTTTCCCCACACCTAGGCTCTTGAAATTTACTAGATTTGATATGATGCAGTGTTAGATCTGTAATAAACTAGTTAGAGCCTTCAATATCTAGCGGATCATCTGCTCAGTGATTTTTTTTTGACATTAGAAAAGATAAATCTTTGTTGCTAGCCTGGGGTTTATGTATTAGTACTAGGTGAAATTTGCTTGCAGTCAAGTTTTCTTATTCCTCATAATATTAGTGGGATAATATTAATGATAGATATGATGCCGTGGTTTTTTAATTTTATTTTTTATTAATTATTAATGATATATGGGTCAGGTCTGATCACCCCTTTAATAAACGGGTCAGTTCGCATTGACCCGTTTATTAAACATGTCAGGTCGGGTTACATTTATACGGGTCGGATTAACTATCAGCCGACCCGACCCGTTTGCCGAAGCCCTAGAGAAATCTCACTTAAAGACCCTAGCGGCCGCTGCATCTCACAAGCTGTCAGTGAAAGAGCAGAAGCAAGGGAACGATTGAAGGAAGGAGACGATGGTTTCGCTGAAGCTCCAGAAGAGGCTCGCCTCGAGCGTCCTCAAGTGTGGAAAGGGAAAAGTTTGGCTCGATCCTAATGAAGTAAACGAGATCTCCATGGCCAATTCAAGTAAGATCCTCTTCTTCATCCAGATTAGGGTTAGGGTTTCGCATAGAGTTTATGATTTATTTGGTTTACTTGATTTCAAGTACATGCACAGTTGACGTGATATGATTATGCAGCGGATAAATTTCTATTATTATATAGCTTTTCCTACTTGCTTTGAATTTCACCTGGCAATTTGAATTGGGGTATATCTGTCAGGTGCAGGACCTGAAGTTGGTACAGGAACTGATAACCTGGACACAAGCAATGGGCAGGAGCTGGAGCTTTGAAGATAAGGACTGATATGCAAACTGTTAAGGGCTGTTTGGCAAATGATACAAACTATCAGGGGCTGTAATAAAATGTGGTTAAACTGTTACAAGTCAGTTAGAGTTTTCTGTTTTCTTTTTCTGGTTGTTCTGTTGGTGCACGTGCACAGTCTTGCACGAGCTTTGAGCATTGAGCTTTGAGGGGTATTGTATAAATGGAGTTTGTAAGAGAATGAAGATCATGATGAATGAAATTAGAATTGTTCTCTTCTCTCAGTTCTCATTCCCTGTCTCAATTCTCTCTTACTCTCTGTATCTCAATTCTCTCTCTCACTTCCTGTCTACAACTTCTCTTCAATTTCTTCTTAGAATTTCCCTCTTTGTAGCAGTTCAACCTCAGCCATGGCCAGCAACGGAGCCAAGATAATCAGCAGAGGATTGAGATCCTCACAATTGGTATTGTGAGGATCTCAATCCTCTGCTGATTATCTTGGCTCCGTTGCTGGCCATGGCTGAGGTTGAACTGCTACAAAGAGGGAAATTCTAAGAAGAAATTGAAGAGAAGTTGTAGACAGGAAGTGAGAGAGAGAATTGAGATACAGAGAGTAAGAGAGAATTGAGACAGGGAATGAGAACTGAGAGAAGAGAACAATTCTAATTTCATTCATCATGATCTTCATTCTCTTACAAACTCCATTTATACAATACCCCTCAAAGCTCAATGCTCAAAGCTCGTGCAAGACTGTGCACGTGCACCAACAGAACAACCAGAAAAAGAAAACAGAAAACTCTAACTGACTTGTAACAGTTTAACCACATTTTATTACAGCCCCTGATAGTTTGTATCCTTTGCCAAACAGCCCTTAACAGTTTGCATATCAGTCCTTATCTTCAAAGCTCCAGCTCCTGCCCATTGCTTGTGTCCAGGTTATCAGTTCCTGTACCAACTTCAGGTCCTGCACCTGACAAATACCCTCCCCTTAAATTTGACCTTGTCTCAAGGTCAAAGGTAGGAAAGTGTTTAACAAGTTCACAGGAAGGTCTCTCAGTTGAAGCTAATGAAATGCGCTGCTTCCATTTGACGAGAATTTGAGATGTCAAGCGATTCTCTTTGACAACCGACCTCCTGTCCGGAATTTGCTCATTTTGCGCTAATGTATGCGCAAGCATATGAGCTTGTTCTGCTGCTGATGAATATGTTTTTGATGGCAAAGAAGGGCTTGGGCAACTAGCATCTTCATCTACCTTGCCCTTCAATCCGGAGAGAGACTCATCAGAGGAACTTAGCTGCCGCTTGTCACAATTGTCATAATCGATGTCATCTCCACCTTCCTCTCCATTGCACTTTTTCAGCAAAGGCTCTTCTTTCGCTTTAGGAGACCTAAAACTTAATTTCCTCTTTCTCCATGGAAGGATACTCCTCTTTGAAGACAACACAGTCTGCTCCTGAACAGATGATGTCATATCCTCGGCATGGGAACATGCCACATCTGACTTGCGATGACTATAGTACACCCAATCCTCATACTCTCCATTTATTCTCATATCAGAGTAAAATGAACCACCAACATAGCTTGCAGTAGCCAAAGTACCATAATTAAAGGACCTCCTGATGCTAGAATTCTCCTTACCCTCTTCTAGTTCTCCTTCAAGATCATCATCAAGGAAGTCAGTGTCAAATGGGTAAGGGTAATCTGCATCCTCGCTCCTAGCAGAACATCTTCCTTCACTACTTTCATCCTCACGACAAGTCTTCTTAGCCTTTCTAGTCGACACAAAGTCTGTAAGAATTTTCACTTTCCGTAATCCAGCCTTAAGAGCAGAAAGCTCATTTTTCTCTGAAGGAAGAGCATCTCCAGAGGAAGGTGACAAAGGAGCTGGCACTATAGGTCTTTGCACTATCTCGAACGATTCCTGGCTTGTTCTCAACTCCAACAGGCTGAGAGCCAAAATAAGTGATAGATGAGACTCAGAATTAACACCCGGCAGCAACAATGGAAGATTTATCTCAACCTCCTCTTGAGCAGTACAAGCAAATTCTGCAAGGTTGAGAGAAGCCATTCCGATGACAGATGTCTTATTCTTGGATCCTTGTTTCAAGCCCTAAACCCGGAGCTCCACCAACCTTTTGTTGGGAAAGATTGAGAAATCCCAGGATAGTTTCCCCAACTAAATGAGACAAAATGACACCAAAGATTTTTAGCGTGGAAAACCCTCCAAAAAGAGGTAAAAACCACGGGACCCGTAGGCCACTTAAAAACTTCCACTATAATAATGGGATTACACACTTCACCCTTAGGTGGATCTCTCACAAAATTGGCTAACAACACAACTTCTATTTGTGGATAATAACTTCACAAATAGGCTCTCTATTTTTCTCTCTCAGATTAACTCTGCTTCTGAGGCTCTCACTTGTTTTCTTCTTGGTTTTTGGGATGATAAAACTGAATGACGGATCTTCAATTTATAGAGGAGATCAACCTCCTCTCTCCTCAAATTTCGCCATGAGTTGCGTTGATCATTCAATGCATTTCCATTTTTGTCAAGCGCAGGTCCCACACATGAAGACAAATCCTTTGCTTTCGGCAGCCGACTTTGCCAATTTTTCTTCTTTGCTTCCTTGCACCAACAGAACAACCAGAAAAAGAAAACAGAAAACTCTAACTGACTTGTAACAGTTTAACCACATTTTATTACAGCCCCTGATAGTTTGTATCCTTTGCCAAACAGCCCTTAACAGTTTGCATATCAGTCCTTATCTTCAAAGCTCCAGCTCCTGCCCATTGCTTGTGTCCAGGTTATCAGTTCCTGTACCAACTTCAGGTCCTGCACCTGACAAATACCCTCCCCTTAAATTTGACCTTGTCTCAAGGTCAAAGGTAGGAAAGTGTTTAACAAGTTCACAGGAAGGTCTCTCAGTTGAAGCTAATGAAATGCGCTGCTTCCATTTGACGAGAATTTGAGATGTCAAGCGATTCTCTTTGACAACCGACCTCCTGTCCGGAATTTGCTCATTTTGCGCTAATGTATGCGCAAGCATATGAGCTTGTTCTGCTGCTGATGAATATGTTTTTGATGGCAAAGAAGGGCTTGGGCAACTAGCATCTTCATCTACCTTGCCCTTCAATCCGGAGAGAGACTCATCAGAGGAACTTAGCTGCCGCTTGTCACAATTGTCATAATCGATGTCATCTCCACCTTCCTCTCCATTGCACTTTTTCAGCAAAGGCTCTTCTTTCGCTTTAGGAGACCTAAAACTTAATTTCCTCTTTCTCCATGGAAGGATACTCCTCTTTGAAGACAACACAGTCTGCTCCTGAACAGATGATGTCATATCCTCGGCATGGGAACATGCCACATCTGACTTGCGATGACTATAGTACACCCAATCCTCATACTCTCCATTTATTCTCATATCAGAGTAAAATGAACCACCAACATAGTTTGCAGTAGCCAAAGTACCATAACTAAAGGACTTCCTGATGCTAGAATTCTCCTTATCCTCTTCTAGTTCTCCTTCAAGATCATCATCAAGGAAGTCAGTGTCAAATGGGTAAGGGTAATCTGCATCCTCGCTCCTAGCAGAACATCTTCCTTCACTACTTTCATCCTCACGACAAGTCTTCTTAGCCTTTCTAGTCGACACAAAGTCTGTAAGAATTTTCACTTTCCGTAATCCAGCCTTAAGAGCAGAAAGCTCATTTTTCTCTGAAGGAAGAGCATCTCCAGAGGAAGGTGACAAAGGAGCTGGCACTATAGGTCTTTGCACTATCTCGAACGATTCCTGGCTTGTTCTCAACTCCAACAGGCTGAGAGCCAAAATAAGTGATAGATGAGACTCAGAATTAACACCCGGCAGCAACAATGGAAGATTTATCTCAACCTCCTCTTGAGCAGTACAAGCAAATTCTGCAAGGTTGAGAGAAGCCATTCCGATGACAGATGTCTTATTCTTGGATCCTTGTTCCAAGCCCTTCTTCTTGGCAGGAACCTGAGGTGATTCAACAAGAGGATTTGAGCTAGCATCAGCGTATGCCACAAGACCACCAACCTTTTGTTGGGAAAGATTGAGAAATCCCAGGATAGTTTCCCCAACTAAATGAGACAAAATGACACCAAAGATTTTTAGCGTGGAAAACCCTCCAAAAAGAGGTAAAAACCACGGGACCCGTAGGCCACTTAAAAACTTCCACTATAATAATGGGATTACACACTTCACCCTTAGGTGGATCTCTCACAAAATTGGCTAACAACACAACTTCTATTTGTGGATAATAACTTCACAAATAGGCTCTCTATTTTTCTCTCTCAGATTAACTCTGCTTCTGAGGCTCTCACTTGTTTTCTTCTTGGTTTTTGGGATGATAAAACTGAATGACGGATCTTCAATTTATAGAGGAGATCAACCTCCTCTCTCCTCAAATTTCGCCATGAGTTGCGTTGATCATTCAATGCATTTCCATTTTTGTCAAGCGCAGGTCCCACACATGAAGACAAATCCTTTGCTTTCGGCAGCCGACTTTGCCAATTTTTCTTCTTTGCTTCCTTTTTGGTTGTTGGCCCATGTGACCTTCTAATTTGCTGGCCCACGTGTCACAGGAGGTGAACCAACAAATCTCCCCCTTCACCTCATGTGTGACAGGGGTCCTCCACACCAGCAATCTCTCTGCAGATAGCAAGCTTTTCTCTAGGCAGAGTCTTCGTCATCATATCTGCCCCATTGTCATTGGTGTGAATCTTCTCAACTTGCAGCAATTTATTTTCCAACACATCACGAATCCAATGATACCTCACGTCGATGTGTTTGGACCTTGAGTGGAAGGTCGAGTTTTTGCTGAGATGAATTGCGCTTTGACTGTCGCAGTAGAGAATATAATTTTCCTGGTTCTGACCTAACTCTTGTAGGAACTTTTTCATCCACAGGATCTCCTTGCAACCTTCAGTGATTGCGATGTACTCTGCTTCTGTGGTGCTTAAGGCAATACACTTTTGTAATCGTGATTGCCATGAGACAGCTCCCCCTGCAAATGTTATTAGGTACCCGGATATAGACTTTCTCGTATCCACGTCTCCTGCCATATCTGAATCTGTATATCCTTCTAATACAGGTTTATTATTACCAAAACATAAACAATGACTGGAAGTACCTTTGAGATACCTGAGTATCCATTTGACAGCTGTCCAATGTTCTTTTCCAGGATTTGATAGGAATCGGCTCACAACGCCCACAGCATGAGCAATGTCTGGTCTGGTGCATACCATAGCGTACATAAGACTGCCAACCGTCGATGCATAAGGCACTTTGCTTATCTCTGACTTCTCCTCCTTGCTTGAAGGACACTGACTCGCATTGAGCTTGAAGTGGCTTGCCAGTGGAGAACTGACAGGTTTAGCTTTGCTCATGTTGAACCTTTCAAGAACTTTTCCAACATACCGTTCTTGAGATAGCCAGATTCTTCGATTCTGCCTGTTGCGAGTAATCGTCATGCCAAGAATTTGCTTAGCAGGTCCTAAGTCCTTCATTGCAAAGGACTTGCTCAACTCTTTCTTCAACTTGTTAATTTTGCCGAAGTCTTGACCTACAATTAACATGTCATCAACATAAAGCAAAAGAATGATAAAATCACCATCAGAGAATTTCTTAATGAAGATGCAGTGGTCAGCCGTCGTTCGGTTGTACTCATTTTTCTCCATGAATGAGTCGAACTTTTTGTACCACTGCCTAGGTGCCTGTTTCAGACCGTACAAACTCTTCTTCAGTTTGCATACCATCTTCTCCTTCCCTTTGACTTGGTAACCTTCGGGCTGCTCCATGTAAATTTCCTCATCAAGGTCACCATGTAAGAATGCGGTTTTTACGTCAAGTTGTTCAACTTCTAGATTCAGACTAGCTGCCAAGCCAAGAACAACTCGGATTGAAGACATTTTGACCACCGGTGAAAATATTTCATCAAAGTCAACGCCCTTCTTCTGCTCGAATCCTTTCACAACCAGTCTTGCTTTGTAACGTGGTTGTGAGCTGCCTTCTTCACTTTTGATCCTGTACACCCACTTGTTCTTGAGAGCTTTCCTTCCCTGTGGTAATTTCACCAAGTCAAATGTGTGATTCTCATGTAGAGATTTTATTTCATCCTGCATGGCTTTTAACCACTCAGTCTTGTGCTGGTCAGTGATAGCTTCGCCATAGCTCTCCGGTTCTCCCCCGTCAGTGAGCATCATATACTCGTTAGGAGAATATCTACGAGTTGATTGTCGCTCTCTAGTGGATCTCCTTAGCTGTGCTTCTGGTTGGACTTGTTCAGGAGCTTGCTCTGGTTCTGGACTGCGAGCTGGTGGAACATCATTAGTATCTGGTGTAGCTCCCCCTTCATCAGAATTTGTTGGTGGAGAGACTGGTTCCAGATTCACTGGAAGTTCATCTGATTGTGGCTTCTCTGGTTTCTCAAAATCTTCGAGCGTCTGTTCTTCAAGAAACACCACGTCTCTGCTTCTGACAATCCTTTTGTTAATAGGATCCCAGAATCTGTAGCCGAACTCTTCATGGGAATATCCCAAAAAGATACATTGCTTAGCTTTTCCATCCAGCTTGGACCTCTCGTCTTTTGGAATGTGAACAAATGCCCTGCAGCCAAATACTTTCAAGTGTTTGTAAGAAACATCTTTCCCCGTCCAGACTTTTTCTGGTACGTCATAGTTCAGTGGAACTGATGGAGAAAGGTTGATTAAATCGACTGCTGTCCTCATTGCCTCCCCCCAAAAGGAGTTTGGTAATTTTGCATTTGAGAGCATACATCTGATTCTTTCGCAAATGGTCCTGTTCATCCTTTCTGCTACACCGTTGTGTTGAGGTGTCTTTGGTACTGATTTTTCCAACCTGATGCCGAAACTTCTGCAGTACTTCTCGAATGGTCCGCAATACTCACCACCATTGTCTGCACGTACACACTTCAAACGTCTGCCAGTTTCTCTTTCAACTTTTACATGAAATTCCTTAAAGATTTCCTGCACTTGATCTTTAGTTTTCAAAGCAAAGGCCCACACTTTTCTAGAGTGGTCATCAATAAAGGTCACAAAATAAGAAGCACCTCCTAGTGACTTATGACTCATTGTGCAGACATCTGTGTGTATTAAATCTAGAATATTTGCTTTTCTAGATGGTGGGGAACTACGAAATGCAACTCTGTGTTGTTTTCCCATAATACAATCAACACAAGTACGCAAGGGTGTACCTTTCATTCCTGGCAAGAGCTCCTTCTTGGAAAGAATTCTGAGACCCTTTTCACTCATGTGGCCGAGCCGTTTATGCCATAACTCGGTGGGAACTTCTTTCCGGGTGGTATTTACTTCTCCTCTACACAACTTGGCTTCTGTGTGATAAAGTGTTGTATCTTTCTTGCCTTTGGCTACTACCAGGTTGCCTTTGGTAAGCTTCCATTTTCCTTCACCAAAATAATTACTGTAGCCATCGTCATCAAGCATTCCGGTGGAGATCAAATTGAGGCGGATATCAGGAACATGCCTCACGTCTTTCAAAAGTAACCTGCATCCAAGGTTAGTTTCTAAATAAATCTTACCGATACCGATAATTTTGGATGCGTTATCATTTCCCATCCTCACTTGTCCGAAATCACCTTGAGTGTAGGTTGAGAAGAAATCCCGCCGTGAGGTGACATGGTAGGAAGCACCTGAGTCCACTACCCATGTGGAATCTTGACATGCAAGATTGACATAATCAGCATCTCGAACA